TTTAAGTGGGAGAACTTGCACAACTGGTGGCTGACTAAATACTTTTTTGCCCCACTGTATTGTTTTCTGAATTCCATAGAGAAAGAATACACTCATCAAATGTAGAAGATGTAAAATTTTTCAAATGTTTTCAGTTCCTCCTTGTACTAAGTGTATTCTTCCACTTCTTTTAATTCAGATACTAATTACTTCAACATTTTCCTTTGCTTAATTTGTATTTTATTTTAGGAGGCCCACATCACGAGGATCTGCAGCCACGTTTTTTCCAAGTTTCCTGATTTTGTGCACCTTAGCAAAAATGCTGCTTTTGAAACTCTTTCTGATCCAAAATATAGTGGGAAAATGAAAGTAAGTAAATGAAGGGAAAGATGGAGTAGATCTGTTTCCCAGTATGTATTTTTCTGTTTGCATTCAGCATACCATTTGTGAAAACAAAAAATTATAACATTGTAATGATTATACAATTATAATTATTATAATTATTATAAAACTATTGTCATTGCCACTATGGAGACTCTAATCTAGAATTCCCAGGAAAGTAAAGTGGCAGTGACAATAGTTGGGTAGTTTGGGATCTGGCCATGCATATATCAAATCTCTTTCTTTTTACTAGCCTAGAAGGAAAAGAACCAGAATATGTAAAAGTACCTTAGTTGGATTTCTGACTTCTCAGAAGTCTGCAATAATACCTTAATAATGTCTCCCTTTATAGTGATAGGAACTCTGCCTGAGAACTGACACTGAGATCTTGTAGTGTATGTACAGTTATGCAGAAGCAGCACCAGCAAATGAGCAGTAGTGAAACAAGTGGAGAACTTTTTCTCGCCGCTAACAGCCAGGCATTTGGGCCTTCCTAAAACAACAGTGCAAATTATTTATTGGATTGCTTTCACCTTGCAGGTAACAGCTGCCCAGAAAGGATGTTCCTGTTTCCACCTAAGTTTTATATAGTCAATGAGTCATGCCACCCATACAGTCTTCTGCATTTTTGTAAGCACTGCACTACTTCAGGCATATTTTAAAACACGAAACTAGCAAGACACTAATAAAATGAAGGCTTCAATCAGGCACAGTTGCCCTCAGGAGATTTACTTTATTTTTAATGAGTCTACGAAAGCTTCAGCTGAGAGAAGGTTATAAAAATATTACAGAGACAGCTTTTAAAATTACATTTGATCCCAAAACTCAAGAATTTATTGCTGACTTCTGTAGGTATAACTTACATGAACAAATCGGTAACTGAAAAATTAGTGAGACTGAAATAGTTATCTGAGTAGGCAGGACAGTAGCAAGTTTGTTTTTATGAATTAGTACAATTTCTAAATTATTTCAGTTATCTGTCATGTACCTTCTTTGTGTCGGAAAATATTTTCTGTGTGAAATAATAGACTGGCTATCTCTGGTAGTTATTAAAAATAATGCACAAAGGTTCAGGCAGATCTTCAATAAGTTCCTTCAGTACTCTAGGATGCAGTTCATCTCAACATATTCAAACAAGTATTCCCTGATCCTCAGTCCTGTCCTTTCCTTGTGCTATTTGTAACCTGTTTGGTGGAAAACAATATCCAGTCACAGAAGAAGACAGAAACTTGCTATATATGATGTCCAGGAGTGAGGGAGTATTGGATCTAGCAGATCTGCAGATCTTCCACCAGCAAACTTTTGTTCCAACTCATTTGAAGTCCTGAGATAGAAAAGGACAACTTTGCAGAGGTGGAGGGGAGGGTCCAATGTGAGGTTTCCCTCTCTGGTATCTGAGCATTTTTCCCATTCAGAGGGGCAACCAGTAAAATCCAGGCTTCATAGGATTGTAGTCTTAGTAAATTAAGAGGATGCTTATTTGCTATTGCATCAATATTTATTTTATATTTATATATTTATTGGCCAGTGACTGAACAGATTGCAGATTTGAGGTTGAAATTCCTCTTTTGTGCCCTGCTTTTGCTGTAGATTTTCTATTGCCAGATGTGGACATACTTCTTTTGAGAATAACAGTATGACTATTATATGGAATGAGTTGGATTATTTGTTTCCATGCTAAAAGAGCATTGTTTGTGGACAAACTATTAGCATTTCAAGGCCTCTGTAGTCTAGGAAGCCAGAACCCACTGTGAATGGTACAGTAGAGGACAGTTGAAGCAGAGAAGAATATCCAGCTGACTGAGAATTGAGAAAAGTTCAAAGAAATTCTCAACAGGGATGTAGTACAGTGGATTTAAAAAAGGATGCTGTTCAAGATGTTTGTGGTATTTCATTTGCTTTTTAGCAATGTGTAGTCTGTGTGATCATTGCATGGTAGACAAAGATCAAATGATGAGCAAGTTATAATGTTACATACATATGGTTTGTGACTCTGACATTATTGCTATGTTGATGCTATTTTTGTTCTATGCATTTTCTTTTATTTAACATTAGATAAAGCCCTTTATTAGCCTAGAGAGGATTATTTGTATAATAAAGCATGGACAGCCATAAACAAATGCTGTGCTCTCATATTGGCTTGTAGTTCATAATATTTACAGAATGGAATCCTATGATGTACTGTCCGTGAGCAACAGCCATTTCTGCTCATTGAAGAGGATGGGATTCCTCTCCCTGATTTCAAAAAGTGCTTCAGAGGATCCATAAAGATGGAAGGAATGTGAGGGGATGTGGAGCAAGGTGAAGAATGGGATATCCCATTTTCTGAGCAGATTTGTTTCTAGCATTGGATGCTAGAATCAACTCCCTAGCATTGGATGCTCATAAATCATAAAATACCTTAACTCAGTTGATTCTCTTTTTTCCTTGGAAGTTCATCTTAAAAAAAGATGAATAGGTTGTTGATCCATTTCAGTGTCTATTTGTTAGCTCCAGCTTTGGAAATGTATAAAATACATAACTAGAAGGTTCCTGGTGATGATTTAATCCCTCCTGAGCTAATTAAAAATAACTCAGTGTGGTGGACTTCCATTATTTATCTTTCTCAATAAATATGGTTGTATTTAGGAAATGGGGGTTAGCAGCTATTTTTCCTACCTTTAAAAAATTAGAACGCCTAGCAAACTATAGACCCATTAGCTTGCTTAGCACAATCAGTAAACTCTGTACCAGACATCTGTATTGGAATCTAAGGGACAGGAACAAGAAAAACCTAGTGGAAGAATGGGCTGGATTCCAGAAGTGTGGATCTGTCTTTGTCCAGTGCCTAGTGCTCCAGCATTTAATTGAAAAATACTCCTTTCAGAGTCCTTTCTTTGTATGCAGACTTTATAGATCTCAAGTCTGCATTTCATTCCCTTTCTTGAGCCAAATTGTGGGAGAAACTGGAAGCTTCTTTGATTGATCAGTGCTTGCTATCTCTTATTCATATCTCCACAATGGTATGTTCCTAAAAGTCAGATGCAAACTCCAAAGTCATTAATCAAGTACTGTTACAACCCCAAAGTTGAGCAGAGCTTCTGTTAAACTTTTTCATAAATGCTATGATGGGCCTTCTATACCCCTCCCTCTGCGCCCCCCTCCCCCCAGTCAAAGAAACATGGATGGATGGAGTGATCATTCTGTCTAGGTTCTCTGTAGGACTCAAAAGAGCACGGGACAGGGGGAGGGGGAGTGGCTTTGCTCAGTATTGAAGAGAGGATCATCTGGAAATAAATTCTCACAAAACCAAACTCATGGCCTTTGCCAAGAGATCAAAGGCACACTTCTGGCATATAACATACTTGTGACATATAAAGGGAACACAGTTGAGCAGATCTCATGCTTTTAAATACCTCAGCTTGATCTTTCATGCTTCTGGCTCTAGCAAGCTCACAGCAACTCTGATCCCCCAAACACCCAGAAATATACTATCACCATTTAAAATTTCTTCTAATCAAAAGACAGCTTCTTCAGACCTGCAGCCCTTAAACTATCTGAAGAAAAGTCATGATGCAACTTCTTTATATAAATCAGGTAGGACCACTTTCCAACTTAGCCCCCCGCCCCCCAGAATTTGTCCACTCCAAATTCCTAAAAGCAGGTATCTCACTGTGTCTCTTAATATCATTCTATAACTAGATGAAAGTGGAGGACAGAGTATGGATGTTGATACTAAATTTTTGGCCAAGACAGTATTCCCAATGGACCTAGCCCCCATAATGTTGGAGGAAGATATCAGTCCCCGTAAAAGTGAATCTTGCTGGACAAATTACTGTATCACTTGGACTCTACCCCCCACTCCATTTACTCCGTGAACAGTGTATAATGGGGACACACTACCAAACTGATTTAGGCTAAACTCTAAACTTTCCCAGCACTGAACACCTAAGGTATAGAGCAGTGTTTCTCAACCTTGGCCGCTTGAAGATGTGTGGACTTCAGTTACT